GCTTCAAATTAGAGAAATACAACAGAAAATGATGCATTTTCTATTTTTTGAAGCGTTGTGTTGTTTTTCCGTTTTTGTGCAATCTACTTTGGAGTGTGCATTTTCCTCGGGCTTTGGCACAATCACCTTCCAAAAGTGGCAACTATCATATCTTTAATTTATAGTAATATTTGAAAAAATATTGACGCTTTAGAATATATCAAATCCTTATATCGCCTTTTAATTTCAGAGCCCAATTTATTAATATTCGATATTATTTAATCATCTAAAGATATGAATTCAAAAAAATCGAAAAAATATGTATTTAAAATAGACATTATATTATAAATAAATATGAATTAATGAAATACTTGCTTACTAGAATTATAAAGATAAATAAATAAAATAATAATTATTATAGAAACTATCTCTTAGAAATTATTTCTAAAATAATTCTTTCGGAATATAATATATAATTCCCTAATTATAAACGAATATATTCAATTCCAATATCTCAAGAATTTACCGAAGATAATAGATTCAAGTTGTGTTTTTAATGAAATCACCGCCTTGGGGTTTAGGAATTAATTCAAACTATTATTAAGAAATCAAGCTGTTTCTACCCAAAAAAATATATAGTTTAAGCGGTTCTTGATTTTTAGCCTCAAAACAGAGCATCGAATAGTTGACTTGTTTTTGTGCGCTATATGTATGTATTTATATATATATATGTGTAAATATGTATGCTTGTATGTCTGTATGTATGTATGTATGCTTATGTATGTTTATGTATGTATGTATGTATGTATGTATGTATGTGAATGTATATGTTTGTATATGCTTGTATATGTATGTATATGTATGTATATGTATGTATATGTATGTATATGTATGTATATGTATGTATATGTATGTATATGTATGTATATGTATGTATATGTATGTAGGTATGTAGGTATGTAGGTTTGTAGGTATGTAGGTATGTAGGTGTATACACATATATATATATATATATTATATGCTTAGGAAAAAAACATGTATTTATATTTGCAAAGAACTCTCTCTCTCGCTCTCCTGTATCCATCTGCAATGCAGCGCATGGTGCACGGCGTCTTTGACGCCTTTCTTACCGCATACGGAAACAAGGCCCACTTGTCACCGAACAAGAGCGGCAGGTCTGATCTCCAGCCGTTTTTGTGTAATAGCGCCGATCGCAATAGCAGCATTGATAGTGCTCTTGCACACATGGCCCGTACCTCATGACCGGATTGCCGTTGCACGCTGCTTCGTCCTTTTCTGTCGAGAGGTATCCGTGAAAGTTGCAGCACACCGGAACCTGCGCGGTGGTTTCGGTCTCGGCTCGTTTGATCACTTGCTGACGTGTTGCTACACCCTGCTGGATGAAGCCCACGCAGAACATCGTCAAAAAAAGGAGCAGTCGCATGAGTTGTCTGGATATGGCAGACGAACAAGGGGACTGCTTGCTTCAGCAGGCTAAGTGTTGCAGGCTTGGGCCACACATGGAAGGTGACGGAAGGAAAAGGATTCGAGTTGATTTAGGTGTACAAATTTCGTACGATTTAAGCTTGTTGAAGCATACTGTATGGGTTTAGATCTCGGTCTAGGGAGTCCGGGAATGGGTCCACAGTAACAAAGTTACTGTGCAAAATACCTAGACTAGAAACGAGTACTATCGATTGTCACGGTCAAAACACCCGAAACAGCAATCACACCAGCGACAACAGCAACCTCGTCTTTCGTGGCATCTAACACGAACAGATAAAACAAACTCATGAGGCGTATAATAGTAACACGCACCATCATCATCACTATTACGGTTATCACTCGTATTATCTATTACCAGCAAGCCTTTTTCCCCATAGAAGAATGTTTATTCCCGTGGATTAATTCCTCCGCTAGCCAGGCCAAGTAAAATGCACTTGTAAGTACTCCACGTCCTCCCCATGATGGTGTAACCAAGTGCGACGAAACTTTAACCGTAGTGATGTTTGCATCGTCATCGTCCTCGTCACCATCACTGTCGCAGTCACCGCCATCATCACCACCACCATCGGCATCATCATCATCGTGATCCTCATCACACCACCATGATCGTCAACATCATCGTCCTCACCATCATCACCACCAGTCTGTTGCTAAGAGCATGGTTTTCTGCTTGCCCCACTGTCATTGCCACTACATCGTCAGACTAAGAATATCCTCACAGACTGGTAAAGATCACCCGCAAGGGCTCTACTCACGAAGATTCGACGCAGAATTTTCACGGGCCTCCGGGCGGTCACAGCGAGGTTCCCTGTCCGAAAAAAGGGGATCCCCAAAAGGGGTCCCCAACATGGAACTTCAACGACGGGATCCTCATTTTGAGGACCCGAAAGACAGGACAGGACCAGACCCAAAACTCTAAACTCTTTTCCCCCAAACCCGAGACCCTAAACTCTTCAGGGGTCATAGGTTGGAGAATCAATACCCGAGCTATGCTCGCGCTGGAAAGCCGAGGGCTCGCTGCAGGTGGAGGTGTAGAGGCCCTAAACCCTCAACTGGGATGGTTTAGGGGTATATCTCTAATTTTCTTCTGATACGGAACTAACTTTGTAAGGAATAATGATATGACTATGTTAACCCCTTGCCATATGGGCCATACCCCTTAAAGTAAACTGCTATAGATCCCGTTTTAAGAACACTTTGAAGGGAGCCTTTGTTACGTTGCAAGCAGGGCATGGCTTCTAAGGATACGTACAAGTTGGTAGTTCTCTAAATTAGGGTCTCTTTCCGGATCATCTTGGCGGGGAGCCTACATCTAAGTCCCGAACTCACTGCCTGCCTTTCATTCCCAACCCCTGCCCCCCATGTCTACTAAGGGATCCATGTACCAAGCATGTACTAATTTACAGAAAGCGCCTCAAATATTTTGATTTGCTAACTATAGGGGCTGTCAGGCCTAGGTACACAGCAGAAGGCTCGGGAGGGTAGGGCATTGCCCCTGAATCTATGCGCAAGGAACGGCCATGCAAAACAAAGATCACCAAGTGTTAAAGCTCCCTTCGTACCCCGAAACCCTAATGTAGGAGCCTTAATAATTAGAATGGGGTTTGGGGGTATATTATACTATAACAAGGAACCCCCCCAAAAAAAAACCTATTCTACTTATTAAGGCCCCAACATATAAACCCTCACCGTCCCTGGACCCTACACCCTTAAACCCGAAACCCCAGTCTCTTTCCCTCAGGGTCCCTGTCCCCAACTAGTGTAGACTTTGGCCCCACGCCCAGCGCCCTACTCACTGCGATGTCCGCATCGGCAGCGGCACGAGGCGCGTTGCAAAAGGACCAGCAGGAGAAGTCTCGGCCGTGCAAGAAGCAGATGAGTGCATGAGGCTTTGGGTTTAGGGTTCAGGGTTTGGGTTTGGGGTTTCAAAAACCCTACATCCCAAAAGCCGGCAAATCCTTAAACCTAAAACCCCGAAACCCTTTAGCCCCCAACCCTGGACTCTAAACCGTCATGGTGTGGCTGCAGCGCAGATAGGGTCGTTGCGAGCGTTGAATCTCAAGGGCTCTTCGACTGCGTATTTGCAGATGTACGGCAGCACGTGGTATCTTAAAGCAGCGGCATCATCATCGTCATTGATACTAGTTATACGTATCAGCAATATGAAGAAGAATGGCAACAACAACAACAACAACAA